CCCTGTTCCCGGGCCACGTGGCATCAGCGTATCAGCAGGGTTGCTCAGCCTTCACCCTTTGGCATCTTCACTCTTTGGAAGCCTTCCCAACGCAAATCACAAAAAAATGAGTTGGCCCAGAGAGACCCTCATGCAGGTTCCTCTCCACCTGGTCTTCCTTCTCTTCACTCAGTTGTTACCTCCTTTGATCCTCACTTCTGGCTCACACATCTTTTATCCACCACAGCATAATTTCTCAATGTCCCTTTTCCTCATATTCCTTCAGACTTTCCAGTTTTATTCTTTTCTCACCTCCTTTCATCTCCCTAGATCCCTTTTGCCATTCTCCACCTTCCTTCACTGAGGCAGCACGACATAGGGCAGAGAGAACAGGCTTCCCTGTCCCCAGTTCTGTCTCCACCTCTGCCTAGTTACGTGATGTGCAGACATGACACCCTCACCAAGCCTCAGTTTCCCATCTGTAAAAATTTCCTCACAGAGGTTTTGTAAGGACCCTAAGAAACAAAATTTAATTCCTGTCACTGTATTTCCATGACTATGTGAACTGCCTTGGCGACTCTAAACAACTTTTGCAATCTTAAAATTGTATATTTTAGCTATGAATTGTAAAATCAGTAAAAAGCTACAAACTTCCTATGTTTTCAACACCCCCTGAGACTGTGGGGAATTTAACTAGGAGACTTTAAGGAAACTAAAGGTTGACCTACTAGTAGTATAGATGTTTGCGAATAGTTTAGAAACATGTTTCTCCTTGGAAGGAGAAACTAGGTGATGGTATTTTCTTCTTAGGCTCAAGTGTTAGACACCAAGAGTCTATAATGAATCACGCCTTAAATAAATAAAATGTGAAATCCTCTTAGGCAGATGTTGGCAATTGTTTACTGTAAGGGCCAGCTACTGTGTTAGGCGTTGCAGACCATATGGACTTTGTCACAACTATTCAACTCTGCTCTTACAAGAGCAGAGTTGTATTGTAGCACAATAATACACAAGCAAATCAACATAAATGTGTTCCAATAAAACTTTATATAAACAGTAGGTAAGCTACATTTGGCCTCAGACTATAGTTTTCTAACCATTGCTCTAAGGGATGAATGGAGAATACAGTGATCATTAATGACTCAGAAAATCAGAAATTATGATTGAATGGGAGGTTTCAGGTGACTCCATGATGATTCTGGAATTATTAAGGCTTTTTGGTTACTAATGAATGATGACACTTTTTTTTTTTTTTTTTTTCACTTCTACAAGTTCTCCTGATGGAAAAATCAGTCAGCTCAAGGTTTTTTAATCTGGAATAAACTGGCCTTTGAAATAGTTTTGGACTTCGGTAGGTCTGTTGGCAGTTGGTAAATCCATCCTAATTTCCCACAGATGGAGCAGAGACGGATCACTTAGAGGAATCAGGAAGCCCAGGACAATAGGGAAGTAACAACAACTGCCACTTACTGAGCTGCCCTCCCTACCACAAACTATGACCACCATGATCTCCGTTTTATAGAAGCAGCAAAGTTTTAGTTGACAGGAGATGAGTGCTTTGCCTGAGATCACACAGAAGTGTTAGAGCCAGCTGTATTTCTTTCCCCTTAGCCACAACATCTCAATCAACACAAGTAACCTACTTTCCTTGGGACATTCACCTTTCTTCAGATTCAGAACCAGAGAGGAAAAAAAAATCACCCCTTCTTCCTCCTGCCTTTACTTTCTAGTAGAAGTTATACTTAAAAAAAAAAAAAAAAAACAAGTGGCTGGGCATGGTAGCTCATACCTGTAATCCCAGCACTATGGGAGGCCAAAGCGGGCGGATCACCCGAAGTCAGGAGCTTGAGACTAGCCTGCCCAACATGGCAAAACCTCGTATCTACTAAAAATACAAAAAATTAGCCGGACGTGGTGGTGGGTGCCTGTAATTCCAGCTACTTGGGAGGCTGAGGCAGGAGAATTGCTTGAACCCAGGAGGCAGAGGTTGCAGTGAGCTGAGATTGTGCCACTGCACTCCAGCCTGGGTGGCAAGAGTGAAACTCCGTCTCAAAAAAAGAAAAAAAAAGATCAGTGCCCCCTCAGCCAGCCCCTACTGTGTGCTAAGCATAAAGCTTTCATTATATGATAAAATCTATTGTTTTTTTATTTCCCAAACTAAACTGCAAAGACAAGAAAATGGAAGCTAAGACAATTAAGTGATTTGCCTGAAGTTGCACTAGTAGTTAATTGTGGAGTCAGAATTTGACGTAGTTCTCATCAACTCCAAAACATTTTCAACTCGTACAGCTGCCATAGAGCTTAGTGTTAAACACTCTGACTCTCAAGCCAGATGGTCTGGGTTCAAATCTGAACTCCACTATTTGCTAGCTGCATCACCCTGGGTAAGTTGCTTAACGACTCTGTCTTAGTTTCCTGATTTGTCAAATTAGGATGATGATAATGGTTTACTTCTCATCATTTGTTACAGGGAATAAAGGGGTGATAAGGACATGGTAAACCACATGCTTTGGCTTTTTCTGTGGAATATCAGCTCTATGAGCACAGAAGTTATTGTCTATTTTCTTCACTGTTGTATCCCTAGCACTTAGGATAATGTCTAGCACATAGTAGGCAATATCAATATATGAATGAAAAATGTCAGAAGTAGTCTTTAAATTAGGTTATGACTGGATTCAAAGTCAGCATGAAAAGCATAGCTTTCCTTTTGCTTTACTATTTTTGTATAACTTGGATTTGATAGGTAAAATTTAATATGAGTCTTTGAAGTCTTAATTTAAAGTGTAACAGTGGAAACTAGTGATTGTCTTCTTTCTCTCCATGTTCCCAACAAAACTAGAAGTTAGTACAAAGGTGAAGCTTTTAAAACAAAAGTGGAAGTTAGCACAAAGGTGAAGCTGAGGTTGAGCACATAGCAGGTACAAAGAGTGCTTTCAGATGTACTTCTCTAGTTCTTTCCTATTCCCCAAAGTGCATCCTTACATAATTAGCTTTAAAATTCCTTTCATCCCTTTTTCTAAAAAAAAATCTGTCATTAACACGTAGATTTTTATCTCCGTAAGTTTATTTTTACTAAACTTGCATCTTTTTAAATACTGTGTATTCTAAATCTAAATCAGTATTTACTGATGACAGCTGCTGGGAACCACTGTAATAAATGAATTATGGGTTCCATTTACCTGGCAAGATTGCCTTTGATGTCTACACATCAACAGTGAAAGGGGTTCCAGAGGACAACAAAGCCTCTGGGAGAAAAGGCAAGCTCATCCCAAGACAGTATGCACAAAGAGGGAACAGAAACAGGAGATGGGTGCCTCTGGAACAAACATGCTTATGCAGGTGGGTTTATGGAGGGGCTCCTGAGAGACTGAGTCCCATGTGTCTTCAAGAGCATTACTTAGATGCCATGGCACCTAGGCAGAAAACAATGTTCAAATCTGTGCTGGATGTAAAAGTATATGTGATATTCATTCTGAGTGGTATACCCAATACCCCTAATAGCAGAGTGTTGAAGTTCTCATCTTTCTCACTGGTTTGCACTGTGTATATTATTATTTTCATTAAGATTAAGCATCCTCACAAAACTGCACAGCAGTAACATATGGAACCACCTCCTTGGAAAGTTCTCTCTCTAACAGTATGCCTACCAAAGACTCTTTTTTTGTTGTTTTGTTTTGTTTTTTGTTTTTTTTTTTTAAATGGGCTTACTGTACAATCTTGTTGAAAAAAATTCTCATATATGTTTCAAATTGTTCTAGAATGACTTAAAATATTTCTAATGAGACAGTATATAATTTTCTTTTATGATTTAAACCAATAATATAGGACAAAGATGATAATTCACTTTTTCTTTGCCACATAGGATACAATTCAGTATTCCTGGGAAATCTAATCTATTTTTTTAAAATTTTTTATTATTATTATACTTTAAGTTCTAGGGTACATGTGCATAATGTGCAGGTTTGTTACATATGTATACTTGTGCCATGTTGGTGTGCTGCACCCATCAACTCGTCATTTACATCAGAAGACATTCATACAGCCAACAGACACATGAAAAAATGCTTATCATCACTGGCCATCAGAGAAATGCAAATCAAAACCACAATGAGATACCATCTCACACCAGTTAGAATGGCGATCATTAAAAAGTCAGGAAACAACAGGTGCTGGAGAGGATGTGGAGAAATAGGAACACTTTTACACTGTTGGTGGGATTGTAAACTAGTTCAACCATTATGGAAAACAGTATGGTGATTCCTCAAGGATCTAGAACTAGATGTACCATATGACCCAGCCATCCCATTACTGGGGATATACCCAAAGGATTATAAATCATGCTGCTATAAAGACACATGCACACGTATGTTTATTGCGGCACTATTCACAATAGCAAAGACTTGGAATCAACCCAAATGTCCATCAGTGACAGACTGGATTAAGAAAATGTGGCACATATACACCATGGAATACTATACAGCCATAAAAAAGGATGAGTTTGTGTCCTTTGTAGGGACATGGATGCAGCTGGAAACCATCATTCTTAGCAAACTATCACAAGAACAGAAAACCAGACACCGCATGTTCTCACTCCTAGGTGGGAACTGAACAATGAGATCACTTGGACTCGGGAAGGGGAACATCACACACCGGGGCCTATCATGGGGAGGGGGGAGGGGGGAGGGATTGCATTGGGAGTTATACCTGATGCAAAGACTCTTTTAAAGATCTTTGAAATTAGTAATTAGGGAGGCTAAAATGGAGCATTGTTTGCTTGTCTTAATGTGGAATCCTCTACATGCTTTATAGAAAACAAATGAAGTAAGTTTTGCTCTTGAAGGTTCTTCTGCTTACAGTCAAAGTAATTTGCAGACTTGCCTGATTTGTATGTTTCTTCAAGTCAAGATTAATTCTAATGGATTACTCCTGTCCCTTCAGCTATAAGATAAGAGAGGGAGAACAAAAGTGGCTTGTGAAATCAACCTAACGCAGTATCTCTTCTCTCTTCTCTCTTCTCATAGGTCGCTACCCACAGGAGAACAAGGGAACCTACATCCCAGTTCCTATAGTCTCAGAGTTACAAAGTGGAAAGTGGGGGGCCAAGATTGTCATGAGAGAGGACAGGTCTGTGCGGCTGTCCGTCCAGTCTTCCCCCGAATGTATTGTGGGGAAATTCCGCATGTATGTTGCTGTCTGGACCCCCTATGGCGTAATTAGAACCAGTCGAAACCCAGAAACAGACACGTACATTCTCTTCAATCCTTGGTGTGAAGGTAAGAGGCAGGCATTTAGTTTTCTCATTTAAAAATTCACCTGTTTGGCAGAGTGCCGTGGCACATGCCTATACTCCCAGCTGTTTGGGAGGCCAAGATGGGAGGATCGCTTGAGGCTGGGAGTTCGAGACCTAGTCTCTAAAAAATAAAAATTAAAAATTAGTTGGGTATGGTGATGCACACCTGTACTCCCAGCTACTTGGGAGGCTGAAGTGGGAGAATTGCTTGGGTTCAGGAGTTGAAGATTACAGTGAGCAATGATCGTGCCACTGCACTCCAGCCTGGGCAACAGAGCAAGATTCCATCTTTGGAAAAAAAAAGAAAAAGTCATGTATATCCAATACATCTCTTTTTGGAGGGGTAGTAAGATTATTCTAAATACATATACCTCTCCGACATATACCATTTTTAATGATTGAAAGAGAAAGATAGAAAATTCATCCTCCGTGTATATGAGGATAAAACCTCTGTATGTGAAGTCAATACTGCTATACATTCATTTTGGGATTAATTGGAGATTGTCTAAAGTTGCACAATTAGTTATTTGTGGAGCTATTTAATTGCAGTTTTGTAATTAAAAGTAATTGCAAAAATCGCAATTACTTTTGCACCTACCTAATATATGTTGACAGTATAACCTCTGTACACTATTACTCTGTAAACAAATTGGTTTACAAAAGTATTAGAATCTGAGTCTGACTTCAGAAAAATAAAATGAAGTCGACGCTGTTCATAGTGGAACTAACCTCTCTATCCCCCTACTTTAAGAACAACTAACCTCTCTATCCCCCTACTTTAAGAACAACTAACCTCTCTATCCCCCTACTTTAAGAACAGAAAGTCTGTATATATAAAGGATTCCACAAGCTTGTTTATGTGCATAGTGGGTGCAAATTTTGCAAACCATAACTCTGGATGTGCAAAGATGTAGCTGTACTTTAATATAATATAACTTGATCTCTAGTGCTATTTTCGGTCTTCCTTTCTGTCTGCGGCAGAAGCTTAATCTAGTTATATTCAAATAAAACTCAGTCAAGTTCAATGATTTCTCTATCAATTCTGTTTTGTGCCTCAGTCACACACAGGACTTTCTCCTCATCTTCATCTCTGCCCTTTCATACCTCTCCCCGGCTCCCATGCTTGGTACAAAGCTGTTTTAAGTTCCAGAGGCAGATGCAGATGTTGCAGCAGCATCGATATGCTGCAAGACCATTTCTAGGTCCTAGGAAATAAGGCAGTGAAAGATATGAAAGCTCACATGGGGCAGGAGACTTCCCATGGCACCCTACCCCGTATGCATTGCTCTCTAACATCATCCAAAATGAGCCCATATTATTGCTGATTTTGAATGATCCTTGTATGTGAAAGTTGCATTTGAATCAGAGTTAATCTGTCCTAGATACAGATAAATGGACAACAATATTTACTACTCATCTAGAACATACACCTTGGTCCTACTGACCTTTTCTTTGTTTTATATTTATATTTATTTACTTTTTGTAGAGACATGGTCTCACCATGTTGTCCAGGCTGGTCTTGAACTCCTGGGCTCAAGCAGTGATCCTGCCTAGTGTGGGCAAAAGGTGCCAAGCTATTCCTGCACTCCCTATACATCCATTCTCATAATCTTGTACCCAACACTCCTATCTATGAGACAGATATTCAAGGTAAATGGTAACAGTAAATATTAACTGGGCCATGTGCAGTTCAAAAAATGAACTCTTGATAGTCATCTTAAAACCAGATGTAAGGCGTTTTGCAACTGGTTGATGGAGTGATATTTACAGAGATGAAAAATACTGAGAGGATCAGAGTTACAGATATATAAATTAAGATTTTGAATATGTTAAGTTGGAGATAACCATAGATAGACAAGCAGAAATGACAAGTAGGTATGTGAATCTGGAGAGGAAAATCAGAGATGTGTATTTGGGAGTTATCTGTACCTAGGGAGAAAATATAGATAAAGAAGGAAATAAGATATAGTATCTAGCCTTCAGAAACATCATCATTTAGGAGTCCAGTAGAGAAGAAGTCAGCAAAAGAGAATGAGACGGAAGAGTATGTAGGAAGCAGCCTATTCTAAGAAAATTATATTTAAAAATTCATACTTATCAATCAGGAGTTTGTTATTGACTTTCATTTTATTACAAAAAGAAAATCATAGGCTTCATATAACTTCTCAGAACTCTAGGAAATTTTGGAATGCTATAATTTACCCAGACTTTGGTTTGTTTGCAGCTTTTCTGGATTATATCATGTGTGTAAAATGGGATATATGTCTGCATGCATTTCAACTTATGTGGCCACTCTTCTTCAGGGGAAAATGGTTAGTTATGTTGCTTGACGTATTAACTTTCAGGATAACTATTCAGGAGGCGGACAGTCTAATAACCTTCTAATTGCTGCCTTGATCATCAGCTGTATACATGATGAGCAGCATCCAGATACCTGTGTTCTGAAAGAGTCCCTTAGTTCTAGAGGCATTCTTGTCCTAGAGGCTGTACAGGGACTTCCCCTAGGTTATCAGTGCATGGAAAGGATCGGAGGAAGGTAGAACAAAAACCAGAGACCAATCTGGAAGCTGTGGTCTAGGACAAAGATGATGATAAACTGAACTATGGTGGTACCAGTGGAGATGAGAAGGGGTTATATTGGAGATCTATTTTTGTATTTAGAACAGAAATTGCACAGGGATTGAAGATGAGAAGTAAAGAAATGGGAGAACTCAAGAATAACTCTAGATTTCTTGTTAGGCCAGTTGGGTTGATGGCGGTGCCATTTTCAGAGCTGGGAAAACTGTGGGAAGTGGAGGGGAAGCACGAGGGGTGAAGCTAAGAGTTACATTCAGAAATGTTAATTTGGTGATGTCTATGAGACATGCAAATGAAAACATCAAGTAAGCACTTGAATAAAGTGAATCTAGAACTCAAAGGAGATGGCTGAGCTAGACACGTAAACATGGGCACGGTTAGGAGCAATAATGGACACAAATGATTCAGGGTCATTAACAAGTAAGAGTCGAGACAAAGCAGAAGTCAACAAACGAGGCTGAGCAAGAGCAGTCAGTGGGGCACAAGGAGATCAAAAGAGCCCAGAGCCAGACACATCGATAGATTCAAGACAGCAGTTAACTGTGTTGAATGCTATGATTAGTTGAATAGGATAGGGGAGGAAAGTGGCCATATAGTGTGGAAATATGGATGTCTTCGATGATCTTGAAAAGGACTGTTTCACTAAAATGATGGGGACAGAGGCCAGGGAGATGGTCACGGGCTGCACTGTAAACTGGTGGCATGAAAGTAGAGACGGCAGGAGATGGTACCTTTCTCAAGACTTTCTGCAGCACCTAGATGTTGACGTGAAGCTCAAAGGAGAATTTTTTAAAGACAAGAGAGAGTGGGTGTTATTTTATCGTGACGGAGAGGAACCAAGAAAGAGAGTTTGCAGTCCAGAGAGAGGACAGTGGTTCACAACCTTGGCTGGACGTTGCAATCATCTGGGAAGCTTTGAAACTACAGATGCCTCAGTCCCCCGTGCAGGCATTCTGATGTAATTGCTCTGGACTGCAGCCTGGGCTTCAGGGTTTTTAAAAGCTCTGGAGGTGATTATTGGAGCCAAGGTTGAGAAGTTTTAGGAGTGAAATCCTTGAGTGGTTGGAATCCAGGGAACAGGTGAAGAGCCTGTGATGGGCGGGGCTATCTACCCTCCCCAGAGACAGGAGTAAAAGAGAAGAAGAGGGGTGCAGATTTTCTAGTTTAATGGAAGGAGAATGAGGTTGTTACCATTTTGTGACTTTTTTTTTTTTTTTTTGGTCAGTGAAGTGTAAAGCAAAGTCATGTGTTGAGAAGCAGCAGTAAGGAAGGGCATGAGAGGCTTGATAAGGAAGATGTGAGCTAGTCATCTGGAAGGTGGAAGGTGAACTTATTACAGGCACATGCCAGGAGGGTCCTTCCTGCTTCCAGAACACAGGGCAAACTAGCACAATCCTCTTCATTACTTGACCTGTGGAGGCCCAAACATCTCTGCAAATTCTTTAGGGATTTCTGACCTTATGGCTGCCTCTGCCTCTAGGAATCCTACTTCCCCCTGTGCTGCTGCAAGTGAGAAACTTGACCTTCACCTCAGTTTCAATGTTGGCAACAACAAAAACGGTCACACACAACATCTGTGAATGCCCAGACCTTAGTTGCAGTTTGGGACGGAGAGTAAGAGGAGGAAGGATGCATTCTGTGGTCACCACGCTTAGAGCACATCAGAATCACCTGGAGGGCTTGTTCAGACATCTCTGTGCAGCACCCTCAGATTGAATAGGTCTGAGGTCTGGCCTGATCATTTGCATTTCTAACCAGTTCCTAGGGGATGCTGTTGCTGCTGGTCAGGGTTAACACTTAGAGGACCACTGGTTTCATGATAATCACAAAACAATAAAGCTGGGCATGGTCCCCAGGGTAGCCTGCAGTCCCAGCTACTTGGGAAGCTGAGGCAGAAGGATTGCTTGAGCCCAGGAGTTCAAGGCAGCCTGGCCAGCCTGTCTCTCAGAGGAAAGAAAAACAACAAGCAATAATTTAAAAACTCAGGAGGCAGGGCCGGGTGCGGTGGCTCACACCTGTAATCCTAGCACTTTGGGAGACCGCGGCGGGCTGATCGTGAGGTCAGGAGTTCGAGACCAGCCTGACCAACATAGTGAAACCCCGTCTCTACTAAAAATACAAAAATTAGCTGGGCATGGTGGCCTGTGCCTATAATCTCAGCTACTTAAGTGGTTGAGGCAGGAGAACTGCTTGAACCCGGGAGGTGGAGGTTGCAGTGAGCCGAGATCACACCACTGCACCCCGGCCTGGGCGACAGAGTGAGACTTAGTCTCAAAAAACAAAAACAAAAACAAAACAAATAAACAAACACCTCAGGAGAGTATAATTTACTCTTCTTAAAATTTCACTGGCTCTACCCTGAACCTAATTCTAGTCTGTCTCCTCCTTACCACCCCTTCTCTCTCT